TTATGGAGCCCCCATACACCTGAGAACCCTGGGCAGTGCCAAGGGGTGCCCATCTATTAAGACATCCCTGGAATGAAACCTTTTCCCCAAAGAAATTTACAAAATGCAAAGAAAGTCCCTCTGAATATTACTGTAATTCATAATTGTAAAGCACTATGTGTGTCAGATGTTTTAACTTTTAAAATGTCTATTCATCCTTGGTTCCCATGTCTCAGAAGACAATCACTAGTGCAAATATAGGAATACTTTCATTAAATATTATGCTTTCGTGCCTACTACTACCTGTTTTGTAGGCAACCTGTTTAGTAGCCTTTATAGCCCATAAAGCAGCAGATAACTAAAAGTGTTTTTTTTTTTAAGTTAAAGAGAAAAATATTTTAATTGGACATGAATCAAGGCAGTAAGTATACTAAACTAATAACAGTACCTTGTGTGGTAATGACTGTCTTTTCTGTTGTATCCATGCAATATTGCAACCCTGCTTCACACATTTACATGTTTCTTCCTTAAAGGGCTATTCAATTTTTTGTGTTTTGATATGAGTGTTTTTTAGTCCATTACAATTTAGTATGTTACAAGAGGCAAGATCATAGTGATGTAGAGCAATCTGAAGAGATTCTGAAGGAGCTTTTACTTATTCATCCATGCTGTCATTGACAATAATGAGCTGTCACAAAAAAAAAACAACAGTTTTGTATCTGTTATGTAAAGTGATATTAAAGGCAATTAAAAACAAAACAAAACATGTTATACTTATCTGCTCTGTGCAGTAGTTTTTCACTAAGCAGCCCTGATCCTCCTCTTCTCAGGTCTCCCACTAGTGCTCCTGGCCCCTCCCGCCTTCTAAATGCCCCAGAGCAAGCAGCTTGCTCTGGGGACACCCAAGCAGGCTCGCTCTTGAGCCGCTGCTTTTCATCACCATTCACACACAGAGCAGCAGCTGGGCCCAGACCCCTCTCCTCGTTGGCTCACTGGCTGTGTTTGACAGCAGCAGAAGCCAGTGGTTCCCGCTGCTGTCTCAGCCAATAAGGAGGGACAGTCCCTGGAGGGTTGAGGCTCTTGTGCACATCGTTGGATTGCTATGGGGCTCAGGTAAGTATTGGGGGGGGGGGGGGCTGCTGCACACAGTAGCTTTTTTACCTTCAAGCATAGACTGCATGAAGGTAAAAAATCTTCAGCCTTTACAATCACTTTAATGCCTTGACACTTTTTGAAGAAAGCAGCGTATGAGCTTAACCTCTTAGCGCCGGTGCCTTCCGGCCCTTTAAGAGCTTCAGAAGCCAGGAGGTGGCGGAATTTTAGGATCATGTGACCGCCATGATTCGCCGCTCTCAGCACATATGTATTTTTGCGCGCTCTCAGCACATATGTATTTTCTAATTGCACACAAATATGTGGCCGCTCGGCGTCAAGGCCCAAAGGCTAAGTGGCCACATATTTGCATGCGCTCGGTGTTGGGGGGTTAAAGGTGGCCATACATATACAGTCTGTGGAAGTTGTGTAGAACCTCCTGTAGCTTTAATATCAATATTGTAGTTTGAGAGTTTACCTAAATATTCCAATTAAGTTATAGCCAATTAGGTTGGCTCTTACACTACAGAGTCAGATATTAAATACACCTGGTTACAGCAGAGACAAGTTTAATATAGCAGCTTGAATAACTGCATGTCCATGTCTGTCGGATCATGTCGGATCGTTCCGTTTTCATCCGACTGCCCGCTGCGGAGAGCGATCAGCAATAAGCTCTGTGTCTGCTCTGCAGCAGCGGAGGGGATAGAGAGCTGTCATCCGCTTGCTCAGTGGGGATCAGCGGAGAGATCCCTCGCTGAGCAAGTGGATCAGCTAAATGGGTCCACTCCATGAGAAAGGACCCTTACATAACAGATTCTGCAGCCAAGTGTAAGCTACATTTCAGCTATTAAATTTACCCTGAATATGAGTGATATGTAATCAACTACAGGATTAGTCTGCAGCAACTGTCACACTTTACATGACTTCTCATCCCTGACTTACAAGCTAAAGAGTCAAACCTAAATTTAAACTAAGTGAGATACCTATATCATTTTAACGGAGCAGAGCCCTTCTTGAACATAATGAGGTTAATTACTAAACCTGCATGGTGCAAAATCTGATGCAGCTCTGCATAAAAATCGGTCAGCTTCCAGGTTTTATTGTCAAAGCTTAATTGAACAAGCTGAAGTTAAAAGCTGATTGGCTACCATGCACAGCTGCACCAAATTCTGAATGCTCCAGTTTGAGTAAGCCCCAGTTCACATATATGCGGCTGTACGTCCATTTGAATGGACTCTCATGCCCCGTGACACGCAGGGAAGAAGTCCCTGCACTTCTTCCGAAAACGCAGCCAGCATCAGAACCTCGGTTCCCAGTAAGGCTGCATTTTCCAGTGCGGGATGCGTGCCATTAGAACTAATGGCACCCACCTGCAGGTTTGTATTTCTCATTGCGGTTGGTGCGGCTGCACAAATTTTCATGCGGATCCACAGCGGCACCACCCGCACAGATGTGAACCTAGCCTAAATCTCCCCCTATGTGATTATACTATTAAAAATGAACGCAAGGATAGCCATACACATAGATCTGTCTAGTTCAATCAGTGGGCTGAACAAGAGAAGTCTAATAGATTTCTTTATCCATTTTGAACATCATGAATGTAGGACTATCCACTGCCAGAAAACCCGCAGCTGCCATGAATACCAGAAGAGTGACACCATCAGATAGGATGCAGTAACCATTTGTCTGACAATCAGTGCCAACTCAGCCACTCGTGTGGCCAGGTTTAAAACGAGGGCACCGTAAACTCATGCCATTAGGTGTCATTGATTCTGTGCAGTCATTGACCGTTCATTTAACTGCCATTGGCAGAAATATTATTATTATAATACAGGATTTATGTAGCGCCAAGAATTTGCTCAGCGCTTTACAATATAACGGGAGACAATACAGCAACAATACAGTTAAATACAAGAGGGTTAGGAGGGCCCTGCTCCTTGGAGCTTACAATCTAAGACAATCATCAGTATTCTACTGTGGGATGGGTGAGGACCCAGCCTAGAAGTAAAAATAATGTGAGTAAAGAAAAAGCACTGCATTCAACTCATCTGACTTTAAAAACAGTTGGAGGTCTGACATATTTTTTTCTCCTTTTGTCAAATATCACGATTCTGAGCAAATAGGTTATGTTTCCAAATAATTACGCATATGCTCCAGTGACTTTTGAGGTTTCTGTTTTTAGTATTAGGTCTTTGGCCTTAATTCCCAGCATATTAACTCTTAAACTGCTATGCCAATAATAGATCAATGATTTGCTACTGCCAAAAGAAAACATTGATTTGCCAATTACCCGCTTGCCCATGCAGAAATACTGTGGGCCAGAGGCTTTCCTATGCCAGATCACATACATGTACATGCTCTGGGATTTCAGGGTAGGGGGCACATGCATGGTGTGATTTTGCATCTCTGGGTAGGGGGTGCACGCATGGCTCACTATTTGTTACCTCAGCTGTCAGCCACCGGGTCCCGGACGATGATTACTCACCGTCACCCGGTGATCGAACAGCATTACCGACGGAGGGAGAGAACTGTATGTAAACTGTCAGCTCCTGCACACTGCTATGCATGGCTTTGCATAGCAGAGCCATGCAAAGCAGTGTGCTTATCGTGAATCACACACACACAGCCCAGAGTAAAACAGCACACAGTTAACCCTTTGATCGCCCCACATGTTAACCCCTTCCTGCCCAGTACCATTAGCACAGTGTCAGTGCTTTTGATTAGCACTGATCACTGTATTGGTGTCACTGGGGATGTCAGTGACACCAAGTCAGTTCCCTCCAGTGTCAGTTCTGCAGTCCCACTATAAGTCGCTGATTGCCGCCATTACTAGTAAAAATAAAAAATAAAAAAAAAAATCCCAGTTTATATACCACCATTTGTAAACGCTATAACTTTCACGTAAACCAATTATATTTACACGTATTTTTTTTTTAGAAAAGACATAACAGAATACATTTTGACCTAAATTTATGACGAAATTTGATTTTTTTTTATTTTGTTACTGGACATGTTTTATAGCAAAAAGTCAAAAATATAGTTTTTTTTCTCAAAATTGTCTTTTTTTTTGTAATAGTGCAAAAAATAAAAAAAAACACACAGGCAATCAAATACCACGAAAAGAAAGCTTTATTTGTGGGGAAAAAAGGACGTAAATTTCATTTGGGTGCAGCATTGAAATTGTCAGTTAACCACTTGCCTACCAGGCACTTATACCCCCTTCTTTACCAGGCCAATTTTCAGCTTTCAGCGCTGCCGCACTTTGATTGACAATTGCGCGGTCATGCAACATTGTACCCATATGAAATTTTGATCATTTTTTTCTCACAAATAGAGCTTTCTTTTGGTGGTATTTAATCGCCACTGGGCGCTTTACTTTTTGCGCTATAAATAAAAAAAGTTGCAAAAAATTTGAAAAAAAAGTTTCTTTGTTTCTATTATAAAATTTTTCAAACAGGTAATTTTTCTCCTTCACTGATGTGCGTTGATGAGGCAGCACTGATGGGCACTGATAGGCGGCACTGATGGGCACTGATAGGCAGCACTAAAGGGCACTGATAGGCAGTACTAATGAGGTGTCATGGATAGGCGGCACTGATAGACAGCACTAATGAGGTGTCACGGATAGGCGGCACTAATATGCAGCACTGATAGGTGGCACTGATAGGTGACACTGATGATGGGTACTGATAGACGGCACTGACTGGCATCACTGCTGGGCACTGACTGGCGGCACTGACTGGCACAACCGCTGGGCACTGACTGGTGGAACTGACTGGCAGCACTGCTGGGCTGCACTGGTGGGCAGCACTGGTGGGTGGGCACAGGTGGGTGGCACTGGTGGGCACAGGTGGGTGGGCACAGGTGGGTGGCACTGCTGGGCACAGGTAGGTGGCACTTCTGGGCACAGGTGTGTGACACTGCAGAGTGGCACAGGTGGGTGCACTGCTGGGCACAGGTGGGTGATCTGCTGGGCACAGGTGGGCAGAGCTAATGGGCGCACTGCTGGGCACAGGTGGGCGGAACTTGCGGGTGCCACTGCTGGGCACCGATCATCAGGGCACTGATGATCGGTGCCCTGATGATCGGTGCCCATCCTCGCTCTGACAACTGCCGGTTCTCGGCAGTACTTTCCTCATGATCTGACAGCGTGAGGAAAGTGCAGCCGAGAACCGGCACTTGCATTTCCCTCTGATCAGCGTGTGATTGAACACCGCTGATCACGTGGTAAAAGGCCGCTGTGATTGGCCTTTTACCACATCACGTGATCAGCTGTGTCCGTAGGACACAGCGATCACGGAGATCGCCGGGTGCGCGCCCCCTGGGGCGCGCAGGAGAGCGCGTTCTGGGAGGACGTCATATGACGTCCACTCAGAACTGGCCGGCCGCAGTGCAGCCGTCATTCGGCTATCTGCGGTCGGCAACAAGTTAAAATACACAGTGCCAAAACGCAAATAATGTCGTGGTCAGGAAGGGGGGTAAATCATGTGGAGGGCAAGTGGTTAATAGGGACACAAACAGCAATAAAAACTGACAAGCTTTCTAATCCCTCTGCGCTCTATCCAAAACGAAAAAAAAAAAGGTTTGCGTTTAGTTATACTTTGTTTTCCACATATCTTAGTCATCTTGTAACAGCTGGATTAGACCAATTCATGACCAACAGTCAAAAGAATGAGCTGTGATGGTTGGACTCCAACAATTTCCTGCCTCTGATGTGTGGTGCCTAAATGACAAATATCTATGACCACATAACAGAATGGAATTCCTGCTAGAAACTTGGCCTTTAAACCCTTCCTGCCTGACCTGTGAACTCTTCTAGGGCTGACCAGTTGGGTTAGTTATTGTCTCCTCTGCTTTTAGCTGTGGCAATAGAAGACATATCATTCAGATGTCAGATAAGCAGCCTTTGTGGAATGTCAACACCAACTTTGCAGATACTGCTGGTTTAGACCAGTTTGCTAGCAAGAGAAGTCATGTTTTTTTCTTCCTTTATAGCTATTACTAAGTTTTCACATCTGTCCACACTTCACCCACATAAAAGCCTTCACTTGGACATCAAAGAGCAAATAGGCTCTGGATAAACACTCAAGACAAAGGCCTATTAATACAGCAAACATGGAAGTAAAACAAATCAGACACCTTACTGTGGTTTGTCAGTGGCTAGTTTAACTAAACCTCAGTCCAACCTTAACTGGTTTGTAAACGCCTAAGTAACTAGGCACACCACGTTGTTACCAAAGTGCTCAGGTGATGTTTTGGGCAGATCTTGTTATAATTTATTAGTACAACTAAACAGTGTTGTGTGAGGGGAAAAAAACATTTGAAAGATAGAAATATATATTAACTTTGTTTATGGCATAATTAGGTGTAGATGATGGTGATGGTGCTCCTTATTAACTAGCTGTATGCTCACATTGCATTCTCTACAGAATAAGCTGAATTCCTCCTCTCATTTCTATCTTGTACCTACTGTTCAAGAATCTAGAACAGTGGTGGTCAACTTTTTTGATATGGGTGGCCACAAGTGCGACCCTCAACATCACCAAAGAACCGCACATAAAATTCAATGAGTATTTACAGTCAGAGACAGCAGATACACAACAGGATGTAATCAAAGACTGTGGATATTATACAGGAGATGGTCAGAGACTGCAGACATGATACAAGAGATAGTCAGAGACTGTGGACATGATACAAGAGATGGTCAGAGACTGTGGATATAGTACAGGAGATAGTCAGAGACTGTGGACATAATACAAGAGATGGCAAGGACTGGAGACTTACTGCAGGAGATGGTCAGAGAATATGGGCATGATACAAGAGATGGTCAGACACTGTGGACATGATACAGGAGATGGTCAGAGATTGTGGATATAATACAGGAGATGGTCAGAGACTGTGGACATGATACAAGAGATGGTCAGAGACTGTGAACATGATACAGGAGATGTTCAGAGACTGTGGACTTGATATAAGAGATGGTCATAGATTGTGAACATAATGCAAGAAATGGTCAGAGACTGTGAACATAATACAAGAAATGGTCAGAAACTGTGGACATGATACAATAGATGGTCAGGACTGGGGATTGCTAGAGCAGATGATCTGACACTGTGAACATGATACAAGAGATGATCATAGACTGTGAACATGATACAAGAGATGGTCATAGACTGTGGACATGATACAAGAAATGGTCAGAAACTGTGGACATGATACAATAGATGGTCAGGACTGGGGATTGCTAGAGCAGATGGTCTGACACTGTGAACATGATATAAGAGATGATCAGAGACTGTGAACATGATACAAGAGATGGTCATAGACTGTGGACATGATACAAGAGATGGCCAGGACTGGAGACTTGCTGCAGGAGATGGTCAGAGAATATGGGCATGATACAAGAGAGGGTCAGAGACTGTGGACATGATACAGGAAATGGTCAGAGACTGTGGATATAATACAAAATTAGCTGTTTACTTTGCAAATTAATTTTCCCCAGAACATAGTGAATGAGGTGAAATTTTCCTTTGCGAAGAATAGCCAATCATACAAGAGATATTAAAAAAATAATATTTTTACTTGCATATGATTGGATGGTGGAAGTCAGCAGAGGTTCACCTCATTCTCTAAGGTCTGGGAAAAATGTCTTTGCAAAGTGCAACTTCTCTTGCAAAGTGAACAGCCGAATTGCCGATTTTTAGTAAATCAATCCCAATGTGTCAAAGTGAAAATATTCAATATGAATATGTGGTGTGTAATTGAACCAAGCAGCAATGAATTAGTTAACATGTACAACCTATTAAACACACACACACACATATTCATTTATTAGATAGATATAGATAGATAGATAGATAGATAGATAGATAGAGAGATAGATATACCCATTTAATATATATATATATATATATATATATATATATATATATATATATATGTGTGTGTGTGTTAAATAGATAGATATACCTATCTATCTATCTATCTATCTATCTATCTATCTATCTATCTATCTATCTATCTATCTATCTATGTGTGTGTGTTTATTTATATATATTATGTATATATTATGTTATATATTATATTATGTATATAACATAATATATACATAAATTATAAATACACACACACACACACATATATATATATATATATATATATATATATATATATGTATAATTTTTTTTTCTATTATCTCAGAATTCTGAATATAAGGGGAAAAAAAAGCATAATTAAAACAACATATAAAGGTTTCCTCCCACACTCCAAAGAGATTCTGGTAGGTTAGTTGGCTCCTGTCTAAATTGGCCCTAGTATGTGTATGTATGAATGTGAGTTAGGGACCTTAGACTGTACTCTCCTTGAGAGTTAGGGACTGATGTGAATGTACAATGTATATGTAAAGTGCTGCGTAAATTGACAGTGCTATATAAAGTACCTGAAATAAATAAATAAAAATAAATAATAACTAATGTGAGATCTGATAGACAGTATATTCGGGGCCTAGAAAGCACTAAATATAAACGAAGCCTTGACACTAGTGTAAATCTAGACAAATGCTGAATAATCTGGTTTTTACCACATTGTCTTGATTGTTTACCTAGCAATTTGAGTAGGAAGAAGATGTCACTTGGCATGTTGTACTTCTGCTCAATAAACTGCTAAACACACTCAAAGACAGTAAACTATTCCTAAATGGCAGGGTATTTTTAGAACAGGTTTTAGCTACTTCTAGATTGTGTAAATTGATCAGATCACTGTTTTTAGGAAATGTATTTGTACAGAAAACAGACTGCTACAGGATCAGGAAACTGCAGTTTTTAAAGATGGTACTATTTGGATATTTCAAATTATTCTATTTTGCTAACTCTGAAATCCAGGAATGATCTTTTAGCATACTTACATTGGTCCAACTTCGTACAATGTAATTATGCATATCTCATACTTAAAGGCTAAGTTCACTTTCAAAAAAAATAAATGCATATATTTTTGCAGGTAAATAAAAATGTGCATTGATTTTTTTTTTTGAGCCTGCAGAGCATCGCATCTGTGATCAGCAGATCGTGGGTGCCATGTCAGGCTCCTGTAGAATCTCTATATGGTTGTCTGCCCATACCTCACCGGCGCACTCGCAGTTCATTGAGAAACTACAAGCCATCTTCTACGATACAAATGGTTGTTGTAATTCATATATTTACACATCGCTGTGAATGAATGATGTGGCTGTGTGTGCGCAGCCCTGAATGGCCGCTCTCTTTTCAAATTGTGACAGCGGTTGCAGTGAGAAGATTCACCACCCACTGTCGCAGTGGGGGATCATGATGGCACGGGCAGGTGCTCTTTCGTAATATAAATAATAAAAAAATAGTACCAATCGAATGCCCCCCAAATCTGGTTCAGTTGGATCAGCAAGTGAATAGACTGGTGCAAGACAGACAGGATCGGCTTGTCAGGCTCTAACAGACTTCAACAAAATGGTGGCCATCTGCACACAGACACTGACTCTAGGTTACATAAATGTGAATAAGATGAGTAAAAGATGGCTTCAGCTCCTGTTCTCCACCTGTAGAAGACACATTGGCTCTACAATTAAACCCCACAAAGGGCAGAACGCATCTCAAGAGTCCTCTACAGGTGGAGAACCAGAGCTGAAGCTATCTTTTACCCATTTCCAGGGCTTTTTTCCTCAGAGAATAGGTGCAGGTACTCCACCCTTCTGAGTAACCCCTTATTTTTCATCCCTACCCATCAGCAAGCAAGATCCTTTGCAGCCAGCAACAACAGACCCCCCAGCAACAATAGACACCCCCCCTTCCCAACAACAATGGATCTCCACCAGCAACACTATACCCCCAGCAACAATAGATCCCCAACATCAATAGACCCTCTCCAGCAACAATAGATTCCCCTAGCAACAATAAACTCCCAGCACCAGTAAATCCCCCAGCAACAATAGATCCCACCTGGCAACAATAAATTATACCCATCAACAAAATATCACCCCAGCAGCAATTGCCCCCCTAAAAATACCCCCCAGCAACACTAAACCCCCTATGTAACAATACAGTAGATCTCCCAATAGCCGGCATCAATAGACCCTCCAGCAGCCAACTACAATAGACCTCTCAATCAACAGATCCCTCCCAGCAACAATTGAACCCCTAGCAACATAAGATTCCTCAAGCAAAAAAAATCCCCCACCAGCAACAATAGACCTCTCCAGCAACAGATGATCCCCCCCCCCTTACAATTGATCCCCAGTAGCAAGCATCAATAG